AGATAACTGGAGGCAGTATCTGCATGAGCTCTCCCCTTGCTGGAATATGAGCCAGCAGGTAGTCGTGTATGTGGAATTACATCCAGAACAGATGGACTTCTGTCTACTCCTCCTCGAACCATATACACAGATTTTCATGTGCTAGCTGTGGTGAATCCTTAGGTGCTCCTTGTCTAACTTGCTTGCAAACTTTATTCCTGAATTGGACAATACAGTAATGTCCCTTATTAATAATTTTCATATTTTTCTTTTGTACAGAAATTTATCCAATTTGATCTTAGTGGAAATAAATTCTTAGAAGTTTAAAGCAAAATCCATTTTTTCAAATGATGAAAAAGCACTTCTCTGAGGACACTTTAATAATAATCCTCAGGTTCTCTAGCTTGTACTGTGAAATTAGGTGTTCATATGCTTGGGCAGGAGGTCTGGACCAGATGACCTCCAAAGGTCCCTTCCAACCTCAGCCATTCTGTGATTCTATATAGATTGCATCTCAGTTTTATCCATACCAGATCATCCTGTATGGCTGAGCATTCTGGTGGTCAGAAGACATCAGTTCTTGCATCTTCTTGAGTAGTTGTTGAGCAACTTTGCATTTCTTTATCATACTGTTTTCAGTTCTCTTCTAATTATATTGCAGTTTTCTATCTTAGGGTTGCTGCAGATTTTTCTTCTAATATTTTAAATGATACAGTAGCTCAAGGATTACGTTTGGTACGTGTTCCTAATAGTAATGCATATGGCAACCATCTTAACCACAAAAAAAAAAAAAAAAAAAAAAAAAGCAGGCTGGCTTTCTTAATCTCTCTCTTGTGGGTTTTAAGTATGCAAAATGCTGTATTTCGGTTTAATACTTCAGTAACATTTATGCCACTTGCTTTTCTAAGTATGGGCTTGAGGGGTGGGCTCACTTTCTTTACTCTCTGAAAATATTGCATTTATATTATTTTTGAAGTATTGATTCATTATTATTCTGTCTATTCATCTATATTGACATTTAGTTTGCAGTTTCTTCTTTTCAGAGAAAATAGTCAGTTTGCTAGTTGAATATCTCATAATATCTCAAGGTTTTGTGTATTGCCTCTTTTCTGTGTTATAGCAGCACTTTGTGTTCCTTCATTCACCACTTCATTCAGTGCCTGAAAAAGACTTGTGAATAAGCCTCACCTTTACTTCTAGATTTCTGTATGTTTACTCAGCAGCCCTCTTGAGTCGTACATTGGGATGCTTGATCTGTGACCTGCAGATAATTCAACCAATGCAGACCCCATTTTTTAAGAGAGCATGGGCCAGAGAAATTGTTTGGGCGGCAGCCACCTCCTGACTGATAACACATTATCACCACCAGTCCTAGCACTTACGTACACATTATGTTCATTTGTTAGTAGAGACATCATATGTACTGCTTGTGTACAGAATGGTTGTGATGCACGTGCACAGTAGGTCCATGATGAGGCCACAACATGAAACACTTTAGTGGCGTGTCCCATCTGAAAACTCTGGGAATCACTTCCAGGCGTCCAGTTTTGCATTGGGAAATTCTGAGGAGACCGATCATATAAACCGTATGACTTTTCTGCAGAATCTGCTTCCATTGATTCTACAGATGTAAAGAAACTGATGAATAGATGTAAGAATAACATCTGCTGGTCGCTGTAGCTGTCGCTGCTGTTCTAGTGGTACAAATTTGCTTCTGTCTGTATCTCTGAAAAGAAACAAAAACGTAAGATTGACACACTTAAAGCATAGAACTTCTTAACCTTATCCCAAGCCAAGTTTTTAATTTATGTTAATTGATGCGTCTGTGTGGCCTGAGATCCTCGGTGGGTAGATCTGTTTTCTCCTTGTGGCTCTATTGGAAAGAATCCACTAGAATTTGTAATGGCTTAGTGAAAAATAAAAACTGGGTGCTGTTACCGGAGTCTGGGCTTCAGGCTCAACACCATGACATTTGGTGCAATTTGGTGCTTTTACTTAAACGATGGAAGCAAATGACTCTGTTCTTAACACTAGCAGGGTAAGACTTGTAGTAATGTGGATTGTAAATAAAAATAACAGTATAACCAAATATGGTAAATGAGTCAATACTAACAAGGATCAAAGTGAATAGCTGTATAAATCCATGTAACTTGACAGCTGCTGGCCTAATAGCAGTCTTAGTATCCTTAAGATTAGCAGTGGCTTGTTTGCTTTCTTGGCAGAATCAAAAATGAAAAGCAGCTCAGTGTGTACATTTTATAAGATTTCCCTAGAGTTAGGTGGTAATTTGACTCTTTGGTCACTTGAAAACTATAGTGTTTTTCATGGGTTTTTGCACATAAGAGAGAGCACAGGGGAGGGGGACAGTAGGAAATAGAAGGAAGTTTTCTTCGTATGTGTTCTTTTTTTATTCAACAATAAAATGGCATTTCAGTTCAGCAAGAACTGTTAAATAGCTGCAGTAGAAATAGATATACTGTTTTTTAAATTTAATTATCTTGAGTAATCAAGTGCTAGCTATAAAAGCATTATTAATTAATTGTCTTGCATAACTTGAAAGGAACCTGAATTTAAGTACAGTAAGTTTAGACTGTCTCCCTGTTCTATTTATTCTGGTGCTTTGCAATTTTGTTTTCTGGGGGAACATAAATTAACTGTAACTCAGAATAGTTGTGCAACCGTTAAAGCAAAGTATTTTTAAGGTGTTATCAAAAAGAACAAGAGTTCATAGCTATTAGTGTAAAAAAAAAAACGTAAGTGCAGAACTGATTTTGACTGACAAGTTGTAGGTAGCAAACACCTGAATTTATAATATTTGCCAGAAATTCTTAGTCTGTAGCTCCAATATAAAATGTAGTTTGGGGTGAGTTAGTTTGTTCAGTTGTTTTTTAAAAGCTTCAGTAGGCATTCAGACAAGTAATATGTATGAATGAATTTTAATTTCTCCCTGAACATGATCCTGGCATACGTTTTAAAAAAAAAAAAAAAAACCACCACCACCAACGACCCACCTGATTCCCACTCAATCAAAAAAAAAACCCCAAACCCTTCCCCCCCAAAAAAAACCAAACAAAAAAATTGAATAGAGGAAGTGTAGAGGTTTAAAGAACAATTAATTTTCTGTTAATTATATCGGGGGGGGAGGGGGATCCTTTATTTCAAAGTCAGTCTTAAGTACAACCACGAGTAAACACTCAGATTTGTTGGTGACTCAGTACAGAAAATAAATGGTCTGCTACCACTGCACAGATCGATACTCTCTCAGTTCACATGCTGCTAATAAATGACTTCTTCCACATTAGGGGAGCAGAGGTTTTCCTGCCATATAAAGCTGTTACTGTCCTTTATTTTGCCATTAAAAAAACCCCTCTTTCTTTAGTTTCCCCTTTTTCTTAGTGTGTTATTATTTGAAGTACATAATACATAAATAAGAAATGTCTTCTCCTAGTTTAAAACCATGGGCAGAATTCATCATAGATGATGACCTCAACGTTATGAATGCATATATAGGTTGTATTTAAACATTGCTGAAAAGACTTGATGGGGTGACTTACAGGGAGAATAAAATTCACCTTGGAAAATGGACTTGTACTACCATTCTTTGAGCAATTTCTTTCACTTCTAGACATTACGTGAAGGTCTGATAATTATTTGAAGAAAGAAAAATACATATGACTCCCAGTAAAAAAAATGCTATGCTGTTTATGGTACTTGGAGGCATGCATTTCACCCATGTAAAAATTTGCAAGCGGTCCTGATTCTGAAGCTCTGTTCTTCCTGCACTTTAATGGACTTACAGCTGTCTTCATTAAGTGGCCAGTGGTGCACTGATGTGGGTATGAATGAGTGTAAATAGTTCAGGCAAGGTCCACCTCCTGAGAAATAATCTCAGTTTGAAAGAATAGACTTTTGGAAGTCTTTTCATTGGTCTTGTGGATCAGTGAAGTTGTGCTGCCTCTTTGTCTGTAATACTTATCTCCTGGTTGATGAAAGCACTGCCTTTAGATACTGTTTTGCTATCTTCATGCAGAGACTTTAGCCAAAAAAATGCAAGATTATATACTTTGCCTATCATTACAGTACAGTGGGGGTTAATCACTGACATGTGCTTATAGTATTTTTCTGTGAAACTTCTTCATTGACCAGAGAGAAGTCATGAATGATTTTTGGGGCTGGAAGGGTGGCAAGCTACTAGTTTCAGCAGTGATTGCATGCTCTGTTGTGTTGTGGTGAGGAAAGAACAGAGAACACGCATTACAGTTGAGACTAGCCCCCCAAAAAACGTGGTAGGTTTGGGAGATCCTGGTCCACATCACTGTACTGCCTTGTCTGAAGCAGAAGCTCAAGCTGTGGTCTAGCACAATGGTTTTCATGGTGTGTTCTTTCATTCTGCTATTACTGCAGGCTCATGAAAGCTAATGCTGAGAAGTAAGCGTGTTGTTAGAAGGCTAGAGACCTGCATATGCAGTAGAGACCTCTCAGGGATCCACAGATTTAAGAAGTTGAAAATCAGCTGGTTTTTTTCCGTATCCCAACTTACGCCTTAATAACTAGAATATTGAATGGCCTTGTAGATGCTCTGGACATTCTTTTTAGTTTCTGAGGGATTGTATGCTCATCCCAGTGAGGAATGGGAAGAATTTTGATACTTCAAAATTTTCACAAAGGCTGAGAAACCATTAACGATCCAACACTGACTCAGTATGCAAAATTATTCTCAGAGAGGCGTTGTGTTATTACTACAAAGAAAATCGTTAGGATTACGCTTGTGTAACAACAGAATTTGCCACTGTGTATGTCATGCAACCCCGTTTGTTCTGTGTTGCTTTTGTTAGTGAATCAAATGTGAGAACTGCTCTAAATTTGTATCTTTTGTTTGAAATACACCTGAACTTGTTTCATAAATTTATCCTGTCTGCAGAACCTGCAGATAACCTGAAAAAAAAATCAAACTTAGGGATTACTTAAAAGAAGAAAAAGATGTAGTCATTAGAAAATAAATGTTTACCTTTTCTTTTTAGGTCAGAAGGCTTGTCTCCACTTACATGGTATCTTTCCTTACCTCTATGTACCATATGATGGTTTTGGACAGCATCCAGAATACTATCTTCGTCAAGTGGCATTCAGCATTGACAGAGCACTTAATGTGGCTTTAGGCAATCCATCTTCTACTATTCAACATGTTTTCAAAGTGTCATTAGTATCTGGAATGTAAGTATGACCTCTTAGGATTTTTGGTTATTTGTTTTGAAATGTTTTTGCAGTTGTACTACATAGAAGCTTACTATGGACTTGGGTAACTGCAGGGCTTTTCCTTTTTCTCTTCCCCCATGTGTGTCTTCGTACAGGCCTGTACTACTACTAAATAACTCTTCTCACTTGCTTTGACTTTAACATAGTCAGCAGGTTTTCCTCCAAACGCTTGACATAACCATTTTTTCCTAAACTTGGATTCCAGCATCTATCGTTTTTCCAAATCTGTTCCTTTTAGTTTTTTCTGTCTCTGCTATTACAGCAGTACTTTCCAGCCAGCGTTTTCTACCTGCCTGGGTTGTTCTAGGTTCCCTGTGACCAAGCATGTCTTGCAGGAGCCTGACTCAAGGTCTCCTTTTCTTTGTTCATGTAAGATGGCCCCTTCAGGAAGCACATCACAGAGACTGTCAGGTTGTGTTTATCCATCTGATTCTCCCAGCAGCACAGGCCATGAAGTGGAGGCTCTTAAACGTTGATTTACTTACCTGTCAAGCCGACTGCCGTGTTTTATTTGGTGTAGCTTTCTACTACTGCTGGAACTATATGCTATTATTGAATGTTAACATTTTAAGGATTCTCTTAATCAATTTTCATTTAACTTGCATAACCAAGGACAGAAAAATATGTCAAATCATAGTCAATAATAGGAAGCTGTCCTGGAGGAACACAGTTAGTTTATACATGCATTGACTTTTTCATCTTCAGAACAATGTAAATGCTAATTTTCAGTATTGTGCAGCACTATCTTTTACTTTTTTTTCTTTTTCCATGCACTTTTGAAATACGTTCTTTCTATCCGTTAAGTTTAGGAAGATAATCTTTCTGTTCCCAGCCAGTTTTAGTGGTATCTTCTAGGTATTGCTAGTAAAGTGGCTGCAATAACTTCTTTTAATTTTTAATCAGAACTTTCTGATGTGGTTTTGCAGTAACAAGGAAGCTAACCCACCAAATTTCTTCTCTTTGTTTTTCTTGTGTGAACTACATGAATTGTAGTATAGCTGTTCATCTCAACAGTGAAAGCTGGGCAGAGGAAGCTGCTGAAGACAATCTTTCTTTGAATCAGTGAGAATACAACAGACAGAGATTAGGAGAACCTGCGTCTTTTTCACCTCTCTTGCCTTAGAGCTTCAAAAGCCTTAGAGCTTCAAAACAGTCATTACTGAAAGTCAGATGATCATTGCCTCAAAGCATAGGAAAGAGTGTTTCATGTATTATGTTTGCTTGCGTAAGAGGCTAATGGGAAGCACCTAACAGAAATTGTAATACACCTTCATCTTTACCTGAGTAGATAGACATGCTTATGTAGTCACACAAATTTATTTGTTTTCTTCTGTTCTGAGCTGAGTCAGATTCTGCTCATAGATACTACAGTGGTCTCCGTGGTGAGAAACCTATATTTTTCTTTAAATGTTGGAGATTATCTTACCCCTTCTCTTCTGCATTAGCAGGAAAATTTTTATGTAATAAAGGTGTTTGCTAAACCTTTCTAGGTTCAACATAAGATTTTTTGTTGCTTTAACTTCCAAACATAGTGGAGGTCCAGGAATAAAAAGCGGCAAAATATGCTGTCCTTGTGCACTGTGAAGTTAAAGTAGGTGTTCATAGCTAATCTTTGAAGTGTTGCAAATCTTGCTCTCCCTGCTGCCATGTCAATGTGAGTATGGATCACTTGCCATGCAAGTGCTACTTTTTAAAGTAGCTTTTCATTTATATGCCTGCAGCACACTGAGTCATTATAACTCAATGTATATAACCTGTCATTAGGTTTATACTATCTCTATAAGAAAGACATTGATTCATTATACAAGATCTGACCTCCTCCTTTTCAGCTTAACAGGTTTAAGTTTGTTGTTTCAACTTAGCTCAGTTTTAACATCATAAATGTTTTTTTTTTTAAACAGTTCAGTCTAGCTAAAATATAAATGTGTCCATATTAAGGACAGCAGTATTAATGCTGTAGTTGTGCAGCTTTGCTGAGTTTGCATTTAATTTAGGACTGAAATCCCTCTTACTACTGAACTTCATTTTTTAGACTTAGCAGGTAAGCATCCCAGTTGCATTTTTTAATAATATTTTTGGTAAAGAGATTTTATTTTATTTCATAGAGGTAACATTTAAATGTATGCTTTCCTGAATTTCTGTTGACTTTGGTTGTGATTACTGCAAACTGTAGACTTCTTGCATTCACCCAACGTGTTGAATTATGGCCTGTTTCCTTAACATGCTGTTTTACAAGCATGTTAGATTAGATTAGAATTCTAGATGTTGAAAAGTCAGTGATTCAGTCAAGTAATACCAGAATTAATGCTGCCTGTTCAACCTCAGTTTAGTCTTGACGTATTCATTATGCTATGTATTCTTTAATTGCATTCTCAAATCCTATTTTCTTCAGGATTCATGCCTCATTTAGTGCATGAGATGATTAGTAATCACTGAAAAGGGGCAGCAATTCACTCTCTTAAGCTGTTCTCATTGTTCAGTTATTTATATTATACAGCCGGTATTTACGCATTTACACCTGATCTGCAGAATTAATGTCCTTAAGGACTTTGTTACAGCATTTATCAGAAAGACTGAACGCTGGTTTTGAAGCAGTCCAGCACTAATAAATTTATTAAAAGTACTATTATGATGGTGTGCCATCAGTGTGTTTATATGTGGGGAAAGTGAGAAACAATGTTAAGCCAGAAGTGCCTTCTAATTTTACTTTTTTTTTTTTTAGATACTTTCACATGCATAGCACCTATTCTTTTTATCTTTAACATTTTATATAGTAATGTAGTGCTCCCCTTTGGCCTGACATGTGGGAATTTTCATTCTCCTGGATAGGCAGTTTAACTTCTAATTTTTTCCCCTGGATTTTAATACTCTTTATAGTAAAATGCGGTTGAATAAATCCCACAGCATAACTGGCTAGCTTCTTGCTTTTACTTCTTCCTCTCCAGGCCTTTTTATGGTTACCATGAAAAGGAGAGACAGTTCATGAAGATTTATCTTTACAATCCTGCAATGGTAAAAAGGTAAGGATGTGGTGATAGGAAGTTCTGGGTGATTTCCTTACATCTCGTATTAAAACATCAATTTTGAAGCAAGATTCACCTACATCTTAACAAAATAAAAGCAACAAAATTATTGTCCAAATTTTTCAAAACACATAAGAAAATTGCTAATTTTAAGCTCACCAATAATAATTCTAAAGCAGTAGCATGTTAGGAAAGCAAGACCAAAATATATTTGCCTTTAATTGTCTTGTATTACCTGTAATTCTTGACACTCGAACAAATTTGCATCAGGTTACTTTTCCTGTAACTCTTAAGGAAAACAGGAGAACAAGGTAGTATTCTTTCATATATTATGAAGTGGATTTTGTTAGTTTTTCAGTTTTTAAATTCCAACACCCATTATTAAAATTAAAATATACTTGGAAAACTGGATAGTTTTTGTTATTAGGCAGTTTCTCTATTTCTCAATAGAGTAACGTTTTGTTAAATGAAAGCACAGTTGATCTCAATCTTACTGTCACAGTAGTTGCAGTAAATTCAGGAATAAATAAGGAGAAATTATTTCTCAAGCATAAACTGAAATCCCTTGAGTGTGTACTATTACCTATTGTAACTGTTTTGTTTTTTTTTTTAAAGATCTAATACATGATCATAAGATAGGATTGTCCGGTTTTTGTTCTAGGCTAGTAAAATTTTGCATGATGTCAAATTTCTGTCCTAATGTAATCTATATGCATGTATGACATGACAGTTGTTTTGAACTTTGGAGCTTCTCATGTTTGAATTACTCCTATCCAAATAACGACTGACACGTCACTTAAATTATTCCTTTACTTTTTCTGTATAAAGCTTTATTTTTTGAACCCAATTTGTTGCATTTAGAAATGCTTAGTGCTTTTCCTTGATTTATAGATGTACCCTGTTACTTTGAGATAAATTTATCGCACCAATTTGTAATTATCCAAATACCTGCAGTTATTTTCTAATGTGTAGATGTTTAAAAGAGAAGATTTTTCATGTTTCTAGGAAGTTGTTAAGATACTGCTTCTGTGTATACAGCATGTAACTTTAAAACCATGCAGGACATCTTCATATATATGTCAAGAAGAGCTAGAGAAACTTTCAAAGTTATTACTGGTGTAGGCACACAGCTGCCACAGTTATTCTGCAGAAAGGTTTCCATGGACTATAGTGGCTTTGGATCGGTTGCAGGAATAGTACATGGTATGATGTTTTTTCAGAGATTTTTTTTTTTTAAGCTGGAGGATTCACAGCTCTTTTGTAATTAACACCCAAATACTGAATCATTATTAGCAGAGATCATTTTTGTGGGTCTGTTATTGTGAAAACAAAATTCATAAGTTAAAAATACAACTAAGGCAAAATTTAAGAAGTTTAAGTATTTTATGTTTCAGTAAAATCAAATATCAATATTGTTGTACTGGAATAATTTTTGGTTTATGTCCTAATTGTCTTTAATTTTAGAGTATGTGAGCTTCTGCAAGGTGGAGCCATAATGAACAAATCTTACCAGCCTCATGAAGCCCATATTCCCTACCTCCTTCAACTCTTTATAGACTACAACTTATATGGAATGAATTTAATAAACCTGGCTGCTGTCAAATTCAGAAAGGCAAGGAGAAAAAGTAAGGTGTTTATTTCTTAAGACTGAATAATTGTTTTGAAGGCTAAAAACTACCATTTTGAACAAAATGTCACTGGCTGTCAGACTTTTGCCATAGTTTGTGGCTGAATGGGTATCATGTGTTGTTTCCCTATAGTTTGCTTTCTGTGTCAAGACACAGTCCATGTGTAGCTTTCTGTCATTTTTCCTTTTTGTGCCTGTGTATTGGAGTTGAGGAAGAGTCTGCTTCCTGAAATGAGATGCTATGTATCAATAAACACGTGTTCTGTCAGCAGTGTGGCTGTGACCATTTTCACAAGATGATCACACCTCTTTTCGAGTTAGTAGATTAAAAATAGTTGATATTTAGTTGACGAATTTACATGAAAGATAGCATACTAACATTGTTGCTTTGATTTTTTTGACGTTTGATTTTGATCCCTGTATCAATTATAATTCATTTTTTTGCTGCAGTGGTGTCTTTACAAAATTATGGCTAATCATTATGCTCTGCTGACAAATAATGTTTTTAATTAAAACGCTTGTTTGTACTAAGGTCATTTGCTCTAGGGTGAAATTTGAAATATAAATGTCTGAGCAAAGGAGGTATTTTACATTTTCATTTTAAAAAATTGGTTTGACATTTTGGATGTACACACTTACGTAAAAATGAAGTGTGGCAAGAACATCCATAATGTTATCTAAATGCTTCAGTATATAGCGGAGATAACAGTAGGAAAACCATAATGTCTTTGGTACTTAACATTTAGAAAAATAAGTATCGTTTACTTAAATCATAATTGTTCCTACAGCTAAAGCAAGAGTTGAAAAGAATGGTACAGTATCTTTCTGTAAAAAACAGCAAGTAAGAATCATGCTAACTTTAATTTTTTCCCCTTATTTTTATGCATATATATTCAGAAAGACATAGAGTAGTGCATGGGGTTTCATAACTGATTCTCATCTAAAGACAAATACTCTTTTCATACTCAACAATAGGCCACACTTTTTGCTGGTGTCAAAACTGTAGGAAGACAAAAGCTCAGCCATGGACAGAGCATCTTCAGGATCTTCAGTCCTGAGGAAACATAGTCAGGTACCTTTAGTCTTCCAAACGTCCAAAGCGGCCTTGTGGAGGCATGCAATGTGATTGTATTGAGTAGTTGCTCCCATTCTTTTTCCATAGGTCTTTTCCCTGTCTCTTTCAGATGGTAGATGAAAGACATAAGCTATTTATATTCTCCTTCATCATTTATTTAAGGATGAGAGACCTAGGTCTTGAATGGGAAGAAGAGGGTAAAACAGGAGCATGGGCTGAGACCATTGGACTTTAACTATTCTGGTAGGGGAGAATCCAATAGGATAAAAGCAAGAAAATGGCAGACTACTTTGTCCTGGCTTGATCAGATTCATACCACTTTGAGTGGCTCCACGTTACGTATATATAAGTAGCCTGCCTCAGTCTGTTGCAGTCCCGAGGCACAAGATCACTATCTACTACTCCTGTCACAGCAGCTGAGTGACAGATGGTTTGTCCCTGGTACAACCTTATAGAGGCAATGCTGTCAGGAGGCCAGTCCTTGCACAGCAGCCCTGAGAAGCGCCATCCTTTCTAAGCTCAGACCTCTTGGAGTGGTGTAGAAGGCCCAGCCTCTGCTTACGACTGACACATTTACCTGCCTGTTCCACAGCTTCTGTGTCTTGGGGATGTGCATTCATTTTAGTCAAGTGTAGGTTGTGCTGTGCAGGCCAGGCTGAACATTGTTTCTTAGATGGCAGTAAAAGCCTTTGCCTAAAGGTGTGCAGCAAACGCTTGCTTTTCTTCCCTTGCAGATGATGATATAAAAATCGGTCTGGCAAGGAATAGAAAATTCAATAATAGATCTGTTCCTAAATGTAAGTAAGCAGCCTCAGGAGCCCGTTTCCAGTGATATTTTTCTCATTGAGATAAGTAGACTGTTTCGAAGGCTGACACAGGTCAGCAGGCAAATTTGTAGTAGCAGGAATACTCTGCCTTCATCAGCCTGTATCCAGAAGATGCAGGGCTTCTTTTTTTCAAGTTCTTCTCTTTATGGATAGTGAAGAAGAGGGCTTCAAATTCATTCGTGCACCACATGCCACTAGAACTATCACAAAACTTTTATTTTCGGTAGTTGAATCTTCTTCTGAAATATGACTCTGAAAGATCTTGATGTGTTACTGCTACTGTCTTTAAAGATCTTCATGTCAAGAAAAGGGGAATATTTGAGTGTCCTTAGATCTGTATCCCTATGAGTAACTTTACTGAAGAAACAAACTGATAGAGGAATTTGAGCCTTGATTTTTTAGAAGTATTTGAAAGTAGGGTTCATAGGGAATAAGAAAGGAGGTAAGGCACTGAAATTGCTCTGGTGTGGTATTTGAAATGCATATGATTTTTAAAAAATAATAGTATATATTTTACCAGTTGGCCTATAATCTTGCATAGCTGCTGTGATGTATTTTCCTTTAAAATATACAACTATTCAGTCCCATTTCATCAACTCAGAATAATCAAGTTGCAGATGAAAAATAACAAGAGATGTTTCCATGCATAGTCAGCTTGCATTTTAATATGGAGAATTAGCTGATATGCCATACAGTAAAAACATGGCTGCGTTTCTTCCTGGACCAGCTCTGCCCAGGGGCAAGTCGTCACTTTTGAACAGCACAGACACTAAGCTACGCTAGGTTTGAGCTGGGTCTGTGCAAACGAGATCAGATATTTTGTGTTGACTTTCTGGAATCACTTGCTTAGGCATCGCAGTACATAGACCATCTTAGTGCAGGTGTGGCTGAATGTGAGCTAGCTCCTGCATAAACACAAGCATGTCTTTTCACCACACTTGAGTGCCACATTTCCTGTGCGAGTTTAGCGTCTGTATGCCATGTCAGTGCACTTAGGAGTCTGATGTAGGGGCAGGGTTTGCAGGAACTAGTTTGGGTGCAGTAGGGTTGGTCTGGAACATATTTAATTAAGCCTGCTGGATTTCAGTTGCTTCTATTTGTAGCTTCTAAGGCACTTTTGGCATGGTGTTTCCCAGTTGCTTCTGTAGTAACTACATTATTCAGGGCTTTTTGCTACATGAGATATCCCTATCTGTGCTATTCCAAGTAGTGGAATTCACATTGGCAAGACTCTGTTATGAAATTATAGAATAAAATACATGTTCTAATAAATATTTATTTATTGAAGGCCTCTGACAGTTGAATTGTTCCGTTAGTGTATTGCTGAAAGGTAAATTTGATACAAAAAAACCTGCTAGTGTGTGACACCTACATAGCTGAGAAAATTCAAGATTCAAGCTGGTCTTTCACATAGAAGTGGGAGATTGAGTAATTTTCAAGGTGTTCTCCCATTCCGCCTCACCTCAACTCCATTCCTGGGCTTTTTCCTTTCTTGTGTCACATCCTGTGTATATTGTCTTTCCTTCCTTTGAAGAGTAAAGGTTCAGGAGGAGAGCACAAGGGAGGTAGTAAATTTTCAGAGGAGACTTCTCCAGCATGACTTTGGAGCACGCTTCCTTACACTGAGACCTCCGAGCAAACTTAGAGTGTTTTCTTTGTTTGTAGGTCAGCCAACATCTGCCTTCATTGCAGGTTTACACTTACTGCTACTGCCACTGCATCTGGAATATATTGTGTATTGTCTTTCAGCTCGCAGATAAGAAAGAGGAAAAGTGTGAAGTAGAATTTAGTGTTTTCTTTGGCTTTTGATTTCCATTGGGGTCTGACCTGAGGACCCAGACACTTGGGAATTCTGAAGTTTACATCAGACTCTGCATGTTTTCTTTGAAACTCACGCAGATAGGAAAAGATTGAGTTCAGGTTAAGATATGACTAGAACACAGCAAATGTACTTCTAATAATGTCAGTGTGTTAAGAATATATTTTTCTTTTTATATGTATCTACATGTTAGAAAGAAAGTTAAATCATTTAAATGGATGAGAGGAAATGGCCTCAAGTTGTGCCAAGGGAGGTTTAGGTTGGACATGAGGAAAAATTTCTTTACTGAAAGAGTGGTCAGGCCTTGGAACAGGCTGCCCAGGGAAGTGGTGGAGTCACCATCCCTGGAAGTGTTTAAGATGTGTAGATGTGGCGCTTAGGGGCATGGTTTAGTGGGCATGGTCGTGTTGGGTTGATGGTTGGACTTGATGATCTTAGAGGTCTTTTCCAACCTTAATGATTCTATGATTCTAAATGATACCGTAGTTACTTTTTGAGGATGATATCATGCAGTGCTATTTATTCTTTAGGAATATTTGGACTGGTAGTATTAAATAATAAATGCAGTTATATAATTATATGTGTGAAAAATGTTGCCGCATAAATGAATTCATTTATCATACTATTTTTCTTTCTAGGTGATACATCAGGTGTAAGTAAACATCATAGAATTCATTTTCCAGAAAATTCAAACAGTGCATCTTTCATTGAATGGGAAGAAGATGAAATACCAAGGTCAGCATGCCAAATTTTTTTTATGTATGCTGTATTTTCTTATATACATCAACTTGTATATACTACACGGTTCCAGTCTCTCATTTAAAGGACCTTATATGTTTTATATGTTTAAAAAAAAAAAAATGCTAATGTGATGCAGATGATCATTATTTAGTTTTGGTCATCTGACACTTTCTGGTATATGGCTGTAAAAATCTAACTGGGAGAAAACAGGAATATATGCGGCAAACTCAACTTTCTGGTTTTTGGAAGATATGTTTCTAGCTAATGACTTCTGGTGAAAAGCTAAGCAAGTTTAATAGTTACAGAGAATACTTACACATCAGTTCACAGATTCTGGTTTTGTAATCACCCTTAACTAATATGAATAGTGTGCTGTCAGAGTATTCCAATTTGTCCATTTCAAATAGTAGCTACATAAGAATCTCAGCTTAGAATTTTCATGTCCATCTCCCATGCTCTTCCTTTTTTTTAGGTACTTTCTAGTCTACAGATTGTAGTTTGTAATAGCTTCACTTCTGTAAGAAAAGGAATGTATCTGGGGTGTTGAGGTTTTTGGGGCCGGGTGGGGAGAGTATCTGGTGCTACCTTGATTTGTATAGTTTATCCATAGCAAGTTCATTCTTTAAGCTACTTTCTAACATTTGACAAGTCCTGTAAAAACTCTTGTCATCTAGTAGTCTTCTCAGTCTTTGGGTAGTTCCTGTCATTCTTCTCTGAAAAACTTATGAGGCTCAATATGCCACGCTGCTTGCTAGCGTTATGTACTGGGAGCATTCGCTTCCCCAGTAGAAAGCAAGTGCCTTAAACCATGCCACATTTTTCTAGTGTGCAAAAACTTGAGCTTGTGCAAGGTAGCATCTGATTCTGATTCTACTATTCCTACTTTAAGGAGGTTTTGAAACAACATTCATCTAATGGTTGTCTTGTGATTTTACTTGTGGTCAATTCACATCTAGTTGTTCTTGGGCGGCTGCTTCTCCTTTTTGGCTGCATACTTTGTTCATAGTCCGCTTCGACCTTTATTTGGCTCGGTTATGTAAGCCAAGTTACTTAACCTTTGGGTGATTGGATCGTAAGTTAGACCAGGATTATCTAACGTTACTTTACACAGATCTGGGGAAGGCAGATAAAAAGAAAGCAAAGTAGCACTTCCTGGCTGTCAAACCCAGAGAGGGATGAGCCCAGCATAACAGGAGCCAAGGGTGTCTTCTCTGTAGGCACTCATCCTCATGGTTGTATCCACAAGCCTTCTTTCCTCCTTCTTCCACACTTTTGTGTATACAGCCAGGGGTGCAACAACCTCAGCTGTGCCAGTCCTTTTCCAGCTCTCACACATGTTCCAGCAGTGGGATGTTAGCAGTAATGGGGCAAATACCAAGCCTGTCCATTTCCCTAGCGTTCATTTTCTGTGCTTTTGCCAGTAGGAGTGTCTTTTTTGAACGTAAAGCCTGAATACTACATAATATACCAAACAAATTCTCTCTAGCGCCATATGCAATGATACTGGTAGTTCTCTCCCTGATGTGCTTTACAGTCTCATTTACCATGTCACTTTGGCTTATAAATATTTTAGGAGTTATTAGTACAAGATGTTTCTCCTCTTCCTTTTTTTCCAAGTGATAATCTTCCATTTGGAATCCCCTACAAGTTCATATAGGGTCTTGCATCCCATTTTAAAATTTCATCGTGTTTCTATTATTCTACTTCTAAGTTATCCTACTTCTGTTTTATGATACTATGATCTGGTTATGTATCCAGTATGTCTACCAGCTTGCCTTATCAGCATATTTCATTAGTACACTCCTGCATTTCCTGCCAATAATATTAATGAGATGTGAAGTAAACTTAGTCCCAGAAACTCGTCTATATTCAGTTCTACAAATTTTGCGTCAACCCTCAGTCTTTTTTATATAACCAATAGGAATTTCATCTTTAGCCAGTTCTTAAAATGCTTTAATAATTTAGGAACTAATTTACATCTCCTCCAGCTGAAATTGTTTTCCATTTGATACTGTGCCAAACATTCCTTTGTCTAGAAAATGAATTATTTTATTAAAGGTGTTCTAGCATGGCTGTCTTCCACATGCTGTAGGATGTACCTGCCACTGCAAAGTAACAAACCTAAACTCTCTTCCATTCCTGATTTTACTCTGTTCTGTGTCTACATTTAAAACAGTGTTCTTGTAATCAAACCCATACTGCAGTTTGTCCCACTTTCAGATTACCTTCCTACTTTATTTCCTTTAAAATTCTGAAAATTTGCATCTAAGTTCGTTTAATGGACCCATAATTGTCATGATCAGCCTTGCTGAGGGTAAATCTGACCCAGATAGTATATGAGATACCTGTCCAAGGAAATCCTTGTAACTGTTTCCTAAAATGATTCTGACTCAGATTTTTTTCATACTGTTTTTATTCTTGCCGTCTACAGCATTACTTGATATCTGTAAAGCTGCCCTTCTTCCTTTATTTCTGTCTCTCCTTAACAAAGTATATTCTGTATTCCAAACATTTGGTTTCTGTGTATAGCTATATCAACAGCTATATTGATTTCTAGTTTCATGTGCAATACCAGCACAGTCCCCTCACTTTATTATCCGGTCTTCTTGAGTTCAAGTTGAGATGTTTAACTGTTTTGTGAATTGTTCAGCAAAAAATTTTTACTCACTGTATTTCACTATTTGACTGCTATTTCCAGCAGCATTTGGAGATTCTCCAGTGTATCGGTACTGAACTTCTAAGTCTTTGCTTGTCCTTTATATCAGATATGAAGATCACATAAATCTTTCCC